TCTGGTAGCGGGGGGATGAAGCGTCGACAGTTATCGGGTCCAGTAGGAGGGATTTATCGATTATATGCAGTACTCTTCTGGAGAGAAGGATCGGTCGATTGGTGTTACGGGAGGGGTGAGGGGGCAGGTATGGCGAAGTTGATGAGTGTGATGTTGATCGTCAGTGTCCAAAAGGTGCTGGCTGGGTTCGTCGCTTTGGACGTTTGGCTCAGCAGGCTGAGATAGGCTGACGAAAGGTGCCGTCAAGCTGGCAAGGTCCGTGCCGGGGCCCTTTCCCACCGAGGCGCTAGCATTTTCCGGGCCTAGTCTGTCTGGAGCTGCCTGAAGAGCTGGTCACTGGTGGTCGAATGCAGCCGGACTGCTGAGTAAGAAATTGGGTCACGTGATGCGGCGATAACAGGCCGACGTCGCCTGGGCCTACGCATTAAGTACTCTCTTCAGTTCCTGCCAGGTACCGTCCCGTTTGAGCCAGTAAGTACTATCAACTCAAATGTGAAGTAAAGACGGATATGAAGGCCATCTTTTGGCACACCATGGAATAGAATAGTATTGAAAAAGACGGCAAAAATAGATTACGATTTCGAGACTTTTGGGCAAATAGGGCCAGCTGTTCGACTCACGGACTTCAGTTCCGATGCCGCAACGGCTGTGAAGTAAAGACGGATATGCTGCATGGAATTCTAAACTGTAGCTTCGTGGCACATTGCTGGTAAGCCATTTTCGATTCCGGTGATGGGCGAGTGCGACGAACTTCTGCTCGGGCGTGCCGACTCGATGCAGTTGTCTCATAAAATTTCGAGCTGCCAGAGGAGGCCCAGCTATCTGGATAGGATAGCTCAACATGTCTGAGAACCGGTCCTCCGGGAGCTTGTGCAAACAAATCGCCAAATCGGCAGATCTTTCTGAAACCGAGTCACCTCTCGGGAGCTTGAAGACTCGACATCTGCTCTGTAAGTCAATTGCGCATCCGAGTTGTCTTCTGCCTTGAAGACACGCGGGAACGGAAGGTCGTTATCAAGACAATGCTCTTGCCTGGCTGGGCAGGCAGAGTGCTTCAACGTCGCTGTGGTCAAGATTTTGGGATGAGCGTCCTCAGCGACCTAGTGACCGGCCACGTCAGTTACAACTAAGCAGCAAATCAAATTTCCGTCTTCAGATCAGGGTTGGCTTTGGGCCAGAGAGGTTGACGTCAATAACATCCTTTTTTTCGTACAACGAGCCGCGAAATGCTGCCACAGGAGAGAGCCCGTAGACCGCGGAGAATAGGGAAGATGGAGGGTCAATAAGACCTTGGATGATGGGCTTTGAATAGCTCGAGGTCGGAATAGCATGCATTTCACGTGATAGATCTGCAGAGTGTCATGAATGCAACTTAGTTTACGTCGTGAACTGTGTGAGGCATGTGGCGTTCATACTCATTGTTCTGGAAGCTATGTTCATTTTTTGGCATGCATATAGGAGAAACTGACTTTACAGTGGTTTTGGCCATGGGAACTCGTCTCGGATGCCTCTGGTAGAACCCCAGCAGGATATGGATACAAGCATATGCAACTTCCAGTACGTTCGACTTCGTCTTCGGAAGCGGTCAGTCTTGGCCAATGTTCTTTGTTCCGCCATTGGTCTGCCGTCAGTCACTGTGAAGTCGTTGGAAACGAGAAGGCAACGCCTAGTAAGGGCCTGGGCTGGGCTGGACTGTCACAAATTGGGGCGCGGCTCGGGCGAAGACACAGGAGAGTTTAGGGCGTCGTCGCCCGAACGAAACAGGGTCGTTTAGTGTTGGCAATAGGGCTCAGCATCTACCAAGCCTTTAGGTTTAGACTTTGACATCTGTGGACTCGCGGCGTACGATATAACGAGTACAGGGCACACACAGCCCGGGAGGCCTGGTTGGATAGATTATGTAAGCTGGGCTGAGATGGGATGAGCAGGTGGGATGGACTGGATCGGATGATGGCCGCTGTGTTAGGCTCTGGGGCGTTTGCGGTTGGGCCAAACAAAGGGTCGACAGAATGGAGGGAAGCATTATAGCAAGATGTAGGTACTGTACCTATCATGGTATACTGTATGTCCATGCAGGAGAAAAAGAAAAGCAAAAAAGGGGGGGATTCCAATTGCGATTGGTCTACCCCCTCCCAATGCGCAATGAATGAATGAACGGGGGGCTGAAGGATGTTTCTATGTTTGGAAACAGGAGCCTGCCTCGGTGACATTGTGGCTGAGCAGGCGGGCTGCGTACAGTACATGCACGATTATATACATATACAATGTAGATAGGTAGCAAGCATACCTAGGTAGTACGATGTAAGTAGGTATGCAAGGCGGGGTCAACTTTGGTCAGGGTATGCATGCGACCGTGTTTGTCGCGGGGTGAGAGAGACAACCAAGTCACTTACTTGCCTTGCTCGTCTGTGGTTGGCGTTCACCCTGATCCTGATGGATATCGTTCGATTGAGATATGCTGCTGACATGAAAATGAGTTGATGGGAAAGTGAGATGAACGACCCGCCTCGCAAGACCTCGACCCACAGTGAGGGGGAGAGGGGGAGGGGCTCTGTAACTTGATCAACACAAGTAGCTACTACCCTCGAAACCGATTGGCCACAACGTCCAATGTCCATTATCGTCGTCGTCGTCCATTCAGATGCGGGTTGTGCCCACTTCCTTTTCTGGGAGGCACAGGAGAGAAGGAAGCAAGAAAGAAAGGACGTCCACAAGGACACAAAGACAGACACAAGCAAGGACGCGGGGAAGGGAAAGAAAGGAAAGAAAGGAAGGGAAGGAAGGGAAGGACGGAAAGGACTGGGTTGGTTGAGACTTGCCTTTTGATCATGGCAAAAGAAGTCGCATGAGAAGGTGCGATTAGAGGGAACTCGTCTCGTCTCTTTTTTGATTCCTTCCTCTTCAGCAATCGGCCGACCCAATTTGCTGCCATATCCCTTCTCTAATGTGTCCTCATAACCGGCCTTGATCCTCGTCTGTCTCAACTCCGTCAAAGCCATCATCCCCAACATACTTCCGACCTGCGTCCACGCGAGCCGGTATGCGACACTCCCTCCTACGAATGACTTGCAGCTGACTTTTGCTCCGCCATAAACTCGGCTCCATCGTCATCTTTCCCAATCCAAGACCCCGAAAACCTTCCTGCCCCCCCCAACAGCACCTATGACAATCAAACACACGAAATGAGGAAGCACAACCCGATTCCGCACGAGCGGCTTGGTCAGGGACCTCTGCCGGATGCCGCGAGCGGCCCACTTCACAACGGCACCGGCACGAGGAGTGCCGCGGGCAGTGATGCTGCTGCTGCTCCCACTGCCTCTGGACCGCATTGCCTATACGAGAACCAATCACGGCGCCCGACACAGACGCAAGCTTCTGACCAAAATCGTCTTTGGATTTGGGGACAAGCAGCTCATGGTAAGTTGGGCCTCCTAGTTTGTACCCGTCCTCTTGGTCTCCAAATCCTTTCGTGCGGACCGTCTCATTTCCATCAAGCCCAACGGACCCCCGAACCGGAATTGCTGCTGCTGCTGTTGCCGTTATCGCTGCTCCTGCGCTGCTCTGTTCTGGGTGGCTTGCCCTTTCTTCGCCAACCAATATCCCGCCTGCATGTCATGGCTGTGGGTGGCGGGTGGTATGTGGCAAGCGAAATATGTGTACCCAAAGTACATTAGGGCGGCTTGTCTCGCCGGATATGCTGGATGTAATGCCATGTGCACATGCCAGAACCTCTCTGGCGCATCACCGCTGCTGTGTCTGCAACCACGCGCAGTCACTGTCGCTCGCACTCGATTCTGTTTGCGATTGCTCAACCACACGTGTACTTACTGCTACTGTCTGGACTGGACTCCCGCTGCCGCGAACATGATATCTATGCTCAACGGACGACGAGAAATCCTTTTCACTGACGAAATGGACAACGCTGCAAAGTCGGCTTAATAAAGTATTCCACACACACGCACACGCACGCTTGAAGTTGTCTTACATGGCTCATCCCAGCACTCTCCGTCGCTTACCTTTCGCTTTCGGTACATGGCCCTTGACATCAGCCTGGTCCCTGCTCTATCCACCATCAGAGTAGGTACGGATGAAGTACTGCTCGGTGCCCTTCCGCCAAGCCAGCATCAACGCCAGCTTTGATTCCCAAAGAAAACAAGAAAATAAAAAGCACTTCTCCCAACCCAGCCGTGGCTTGCTGTCCATCTACTTGTCGGTTATGCTACAGCGTTCTGGCGCCGGTGCTGCGGCTTGGGGTGGTGGAGCAGCATTTCCGACAGCGAGACCAACGACCCCTCATTCTCGACACTAAAACTTCCCTGCCCAGTCAGTCCCGCTCCTGGGCGATGAGGGGGGTAAGGGTAAAGGGAGCAGTATAACGGGCCCTTCCCATGTTTCACCAGCCGGTTTGGGTGAATATCAGGGAAAAAATAGGGGACGGGCAACCACCTCTTCTGCACGCTAAAAGAAAGGGCCCGCCGCCGAGATTCCTAGATGCTTTGAGCTTCGACCTGGACTCTCCACTCCCCGCTTCCGGCCGCCTTCGCTCTTCGGTTCGAGACAGAAAGCAAGTGAAAGCAGAGACAGCAACTCAAGAACGAGAGACGCATCACTGGAACTCCCCCAAGTCCTATCCGACATCAGCCCAGCCGTGATAGTTTTGCTTTTTTTCCCCTTCTCTTTCTCTTTTTGTTCCGTGCTAAATTTCCCCCACCCAGGAGGACAAGACTACCTATCTGCCCTTGCCCGGGGTATTGCAAAACAGACAAGTTAGCCGACAAGCAGCAGCACCAGCAGCACCAGCAGCAGTTCTCTTTTCGGGGGACTCCAGAAGGTGGCCAACGCCCTGTCAGCAATACGCATACGCAAAGTCAGAAGGAAGGAGAAAAGAAAGGAAGAGCTGACAGTGGCTCCAACCCAAACGTCATTCCGCTCAACCCCCGCTGACGGATAAACCTCCTATTTATGCAGCTGCACTTCAGCCCAAAACCACAACCGACGACATGTCACAATTCGGCGCGACCTTCGTTCCCGGAGGGTTCGACGATTATTACATGCCCGAGGTCGTTGCACCTTCGCCTCAGCGGTACGCCTGTTCCCTCATTTTAATCCCGGCGGATCGCTCATGGGTCCCTCCTTTCCCGCTCGCTGGATCTGGAGATGGGGCCGTTTTTTGGCGCTCATCCTCTCTTTGTTCAGCCCTTTCTTTAGCTCTCCCCCCCCCCCCCTGGCCCAGCAACCTTTGCTGACTGTCCATTTTCTTCAGTGTGACGCCCCAGGTCCCCCAGAACATGCAAAACGACCTTCAGCGCATGGAACTTGAAGCCCGCGAAGTCGATCCGAACCGGAACCCATCCAACATCACCAACCGCCACGGCCGAGAGCCGTCCCTGTCGTCGGTTCTCAAGCCCGCCGTCTCTGGCGCGCCAGCTTTGCCACCGAAGGGAGGCGTCAACGCACCCACCGACGGCGCATCTTCGTCCGATCCCTATAGACCCTTCCACGACGATAGCGCGAGCGGCAACCACCTTAAGATGCGGCCCAGCGCGGCGCCCTCCTTCTCGCCCTTCCCCAAGGTCAAGGGCGACAACATTCCCCCGACGGACGAGGAAAAGGAGGAGATATTGTGGAATGCCCGCGAACATGTCCTGCACTCTAACAACGTCTCCATGCAGCTGTCATGGGCCCGTGACACCTTGGCGTGGGCCGAGGTCATCATGGAAGCCAGAGCCAGAGACCCGGACAGCGGCCGCCAGACACCAAAAGTCGAACACGAGTTGCGTACCGACGCTATCAATATCGTCAACTATCTGGTGAGCCAAGAACACCCCGAGGCCCTCTTCATAAAGGCCAAATGGCTCGAGTTTGGCAAATTCGGCTGCCGCCCGGACAAACGAGATGCCTACACAAAGTACCAGCGGGCGGCGGAGCTGGGCTACGCCCGTGCAGAGTATCGCCTGGGCATGCTGTTCGAGAACTCGAACGATTACAACAAAGCCGTCGAGCACTACTACCTCGGCGTGCGGCTCAAAGACTCGGCAGCTATGTACCGTCTGGGCATGATGAACCTGCTCGGCCAGCACGGCCATCCGAAGGACTACCAGCGCGGCCTGGACCTCATTAGGGAAGCTGCTGACCTTGCGGACGAGGATGCGCCTCAGGGGTCCTACGTCTACGGCATGCTCCTTGCCAAGGACCTTCCAGACATTGACATCCCCGAGGCCTTGCTTCCCGTGGACTTGGTGTTGGCCAAAATGTACATCGAAAAGGCTGCCTACCTCGGATTCGCCAAAGCCCAGTTAAAGATCGGCCAGGCCTACGAGCTCTGTCAGCTTGGATGCGACTTCAACCCCGCTTACTCGATCCACTACTACGGCCTCGCAGCCCAACAGGGTCAGCCCGAGGCCGCGCTTGGTGTCAGCAGATGGTTCCTGTTCGGATACGAGGGCATATTCAACAAGAACGAGCAGCTTGCGTTCAAGTATGCCCAGGACGCCGCCAATGCAAAGTTGCCGACCGGCGAGTTCGCGATGGGCTACTACTACGAGATTGGTGTTCACGTACCCAAGGACTTGCGTCAAGCCAGATTCTGGTATGAAGCCGCTGCCGACCACGGCAACAAGGATGCCAGGGGCCGCATCGATGCCTTGGACCACGAGAGGAGTCTGACCAAGGCCGACCACGAGACCACTACGCTCACGAGAATCAAGTCGCAACACGGGTCTCAGCGCGGCAAGCGACCTGACCGTTTCAAGACGCCGAACGCCATGCCGACTGTCTCGGAGAGCACCCCTGTCACTCCCACCGATGTACACCCCGGATATCCAGGTGGTTCGGCCAAGACGTCGCCTCATCCGTCCCCGAGAGTACACCCATCTCCCGGGCATGAACCTGTTGATTATCCCGATCCCTCCCGGCCTACTAGTATGGGCAACAACAGACCATCGGCATTCACCGTCAATCTCGACGGCAACTTGGCTGTTCGTCCCAAGTCGGCCGCCCCTTACCCCGAAGATGATAGGCCTGCGCCCCTCAATCTCAACAGACCCAAGTCGACGGCCCCCTATCCCGAAGACGACCTCCACGCTCGGGCATCTGGACCTCAGCTTTCTCCTCACTACAACACCGGCGGCCGTCCCCCAGCCGCCCCCCACTCGGATCGACCGGGGAGCGCATTTGGAATTCGCACCGGACCTGGCGGCCCTCCCCTTCCGGGATCCGCAGGCAATATTCGTCCTTCGCAGTCAATGGGCAACATGGTTCCCCCCGCCGGCGCCGATCCGCGCGGCCGTGTGCCAGTCGGACCTCCTTCCGGATACCGTCAGCCCAGCCCCGGGCCCGCACCCCGTCCGTCTACGGCACAGCTGTTCCCCGCCTCGGGTGGTCTTCCCTCCAATCCTGCCGCGAACAAGCTTGCCAAACAGAACCCTTATGCCAAACCACAACCCTCACCGCCGTTTCAACCGGGCAGCTACGGGCCGGGCGATTACGGCCAGCCTTCCCCGTTGCCGGCGCAGCCTGGAGGCTATGGCCAGAGAACATCGTCTATCCCCCCCGAGCAGTACGGAGGATATGGCAGAGGCGGCGGGGGGCCGGCGCCTTCGCGTGTCGAATCAATGCCGCTTAGCCCATCGGGCCACCCGCGCCCCCAAGCCGGTCCTGGACCGGCTGGTGCGCCTAGGCCTTTCCCCAACCGGCCAGACCTTACCGATCAATCCGGTCGTACGGGCAGCGCGCCGCCATCATCGCAACCGCGACCACAGCAGCAGCCCAGCCCAGCTCCTAGTGCCCAATCGGTGCCCGCGAAGAAACCACCGGCAGGCCAAGGACCTGCGACGTTTGAGGCGATGGGCATCCCCAAGGGCAAGGACGAGTCGGACTGCGTGAGTAGATTTGTTTGGCTACCGACGAGAACGTTGCTAACAAAGTGTCCAGATCGTGATGTAAACTTCTCTCTCAGATACCAATTTCACTTGATGATATGATGCTTTCCAACTTTGACATCGGGGTGGCTGGAGCGTGGTATGTAGATAGCAGTCGCTCAGTTGGGCCCATGATCCGGCTGCCAAGCGGGAATACAACAGCACCCGATGGACAATTGAACTATTTTGAGCACACGGCCCAATATCCTGGAGTGTGGTAGCTTCCAATGTGTCTGTGGTCTCAAGTACATGATCCTAACAACCCCCCCCCCGCCCTCAATTGTCTCATCAAGGCCCATCGAGTGATCAACAAGGTGACGGGGTTTGTAGACGGTGATTTTTGCGTCATGTCGGGGACTTTTTAGCCCAGAGGAACGAACGGGACTGTCCCGGGGCCAGAGACGGGTGTAAAACAGCTCCGGAAAGCATCATGCGCAGCACATGTGGGGGGGGGTAAGGATATACGCACGAAGTCATGGATTGAGAGGCGGCGTCCCGTTTGTTTGTCTGGCTTTATGTGTGCGTGTGTGCGTGTGTGCGTGCCTTGATGGAAACTGTTCTACTCTACAGGTTTATCAGGACCGCAGGCTACGTACGTCCCATGTGTTTCTACAACTTGGGCTCACTCCGTCCAAACTGACACCCGACTATCATACTATCATGACATATTCTTTTCCTGCATTTTTTTTTTTTTGTGGGTGCATCTTTCCCCGGTTTTCTCTTTTGCCTCGCAATCCTTTCTCCAATTCAGTGCCGTCCGGGTATATCCATCCGTTTCTTTCGGTATATCCACCATTCCGCCCTTTCACTGACGGCAGTGTCGTATTTCATGTCTTGCAATCGTGCCATCTATCCATCGTCTCGGTGACTGTCCTTATGACTCGTCACATCATCCGCATGTGGCAGCCACCTTCGTCTTTGGCGCTTACAATTTCAATCTTCGCCGTTATGCACGATCTTCATCTCACTCGTTCCGAGTCGTCCTGCAGGCATTCTCTTTTTACGTCCCTTTTTGTCCGGTCGAGCCTGTTCCTCATTCGTATCGTATACTTTGTATGAAGTGGATGGAAGTACGATGGACGGTTAACATATTAGTCGCACTTGCCTCTGGCAGCGGACGCCACCTCCCCTAAGGGGGCGCAAGTAATGGAGTCTGCTGTCTTGTCATTGGCCGAGAATCTGCGGCGCTTCTTCTGCCCTCGCTCGACCCTGGCCTTGAGTTCCTCTTGGTCCTTCTGGAATGTCCGAACTAGTTGAGACAGGCTGTCCACCTTGTCGGTAATGGTCCGCTCAAAGGTGGTCTGCCGTTTGTTGACGGCAACGTACTGATCATCCATCTTGATAACAGCCTGCTTCAAAGCAGTCTGCTGGTTGTCGACGAGCTGGGTAAGGGTTTCCACCTTCTTCGTTAGGGTCTCGTTATGAGCGGCCTGCTTGTCCTGAGACTTGTGCTGGTCATCGGCATGCTTTGCGATGGTCTGCTCAATTGCCGTTTGCTTGTCGCTGAGAGCCTTGACTTCGCTAGACAGGCTATCAAGTTGTCGAATTAAGGGGGAAAGCTTCTTGTCAAGACGGGCCTCGATTTTTGCCCAGGTCTCCTCAAGGGATTCGTACTCCGCCTTGGTGGCGACGGGCTGACCGGTCAAAGGGAGGCCATAGGGACCACTGCGGAGCTTCATGGCGACTAAGGTGGCGAAATCATCGGCGCTGACCGGCTGGTTACTCCATTGACTGATTGGATCGATATGCATCGGAGGGGGCGCTGACATTGTATCCACGGGGATGGGTGCCGACATCTTAGCCATAGGGATGGGATTCGTGTCTAAAGGGGCCATGGAAGGAATAAGAGCTGGACTGGGCACGGCAGCTGCAATGGGAGTGGTGGAACCGACAGGCGTGGCAGGAGCGATCGGGGTCGACGGAGCGGGACTTGCGTCATGTCGAATCTCACGTTGTAGTCGAAGGGGGCTGACCGGGTTCAAAGAGGTGGTGGTGGTCTTGCGCTTTTTGGTCCGAGGCTGATCCGCCTCGGGGTGGCCAGGCTTCTTGCTGTACTCGGATGGACGCCGCTCCACCTCGTCGTTGTGGCCTTTTTTGGGACGGGAATCGCTATGGATTTGAAGATGCCGAACCATGTCTACCTGGGTGCGGTGTCGTGAGGTGAAGTCGGCATCGCTCAATCTGCGAATGGGAGGGCTATGCTGTCCAGATGACAGCGGGATAGGAGAGAGTTGGCGCTTGGATGACAAGTTAAGCTCCCTGACCTTGGGAGGAACTACTTTTGTGAGGTTTGTGCCTGTCTTCTTGGCCATGCGGGCAGTCTTCTGAAGCTGCGAGGCAGAAGAAAAGGTCCTTTGTAGGCTCAGGGATGAGGAAGACGCATGGAGGAGGCTCGCAACAACGGGGCGTGAGAGCAACTCGGGCAAGGGGATGACGTGGCATTTGCCATGCATGTTTTGCCAACGGCGGCAAGCCTCCTCGTCGTAGCCTTTATCAACCAGGTTCAGCAAGGCGATGTTCTCGCGGCGGAAGCACTTGGCCACCATCTGGTTCTTGGCTCCGCGCTCCAGGATGATGACAGCGAGGTAGGTGGTCTCAGCCCAGTATTTGTCGCGTGCGAGACACCAGGCAGCCCAGATCTGGGCGACACGCTTGGGAGTCTCTTGGAGCATGTCTGGCTGTTGCTCCGCCATGTTCATGATGGCGACGGCGCTGCGGATGATGGGGTGGTCGGCTCGAGGGACGTAAACGGAACGACTCATGATATCCTTTGCCCAGTTTGCAATCTGGTCAGCAAGAGCTTCGTCCAAGGCGGGATGGGTGCGAGGCCGGTTGATGGAATCGTAGAGCTTCTGAATCTTGCATGGGTGAGAAAGCTGGTTTTTCTCCCAGTACTCATCGCGGAACTCCCTCTCCAGACCGTACAAGTGGACCAGCTTAAAGAACTCTTGCAGGCGGTTGGTCTTCCAGATGTCGGTTCGGATGAAGGCCTCAGATAAGAGGTATCGGTCCAGGGTGATCATGGCTCTCTGGCCCTGTTTCAAGATGCTCTTCATTTTAGAGTAGTGAATGTTGGAACCCAGGTGACGACCGACGGTTTGATTGGTCGATCGCATATCGCGAGCAATGGAGTCCATCATGGGTTTGAGGTCGGGAGTGTAGACAAGCTCGCCTCGCATAGCATCTCGTACCATTGTCTCAGAATAGAAGAGTTTGGGCTGGGGCTTCTTGATAAAGCGAGCCGGGCCGGTTGGGTTGCGGCCAAGGTTGAATGCCACGTGCCTGTCAACCTGCTCATCATGGTTGGTCTCAAAGGTTTGGCTGGCGTTACGCTTCAGGGGCGAGGCTAGTGAACCCATGGCATGCATGGCTGAGTTACTGTTGGTACTCATTGTTCGTTGGATGAGTTGTCTGTTATCATGGAAGACATGTCAGAGAAAGGAGCTGCAGGTAATATGAGAAAGTAATAAAGAAGGAAGAGAAAAGAGACAACAAACGGTACCAAAGTGAGGAAAAGAGAATGATAGAAAGGATCGTATGAGCTTGAACCTCTGTGGACAGAAAGAATGAATACACTTACTGCCGGAGCTGCAGTGGCAATATAGGTTGAGAGTGCTGCGGGTGAAGACAGACACGAGGATGGCCAGGACGACGAGGTACAGATGGGTGAGGGAGTACAACTGAATTCTTCTCTCTTGGCTGCAGGTGAAGACTTGAACGCGTCGTCGTCATCTGTTTTTGTGACAGGAGGGGGGGAAAATAGAAAGAAAACAGAAAAGCCAGAATGAACAACAAAATAAAAAAGGGCAAAAGTAAAGGTGGGAGAAGAAAAATGCAAGTACATAAAGGGAAGCAACGGCCGGATGAGGTCCCCCCACCTGCCTGGATGGGAGGGGGGTGTAGCGTAACTGAAGGATACCTTAGATAGAGAAGGTGCGAGGTGAGGTGAGGTGAGGACCGAGGTCGTGCCTTCCCATCCTGATCTTACTGCTCTTTTGGTCATTTATTGCTTCTTCCTGGATGCATTCTGCCTCGTCACTTGCCGCTTTTCTTCGTCTCCAGCAGGACCATCTGCTTTCCTGGAACTGCCTAGCTATCTTTAGGATCAGCATAAACCAACTGGGCCAGAGAGATGGGGTTAAAGGGGATGACTGACAAGCGCGGATGCGCGGAACATCGCTATGGGGCATGTTGGGCAGGAAAAGGTTGACTGACTTCTTATAACCACGTGGTCTATCCGTATTCTGATTGATATTGGAACGAAACTCGGCCAGGTGACATCCGAATAGGAATGCCAACCACTGCCGCGGGTACTTACACGATATCCACGCATCCGACTTCCATTAAAGGCTATCGGGCTCTTCCATGCATGCCACTGAGCGAGACCAGTTCAGTCCCCCCCGCGCCATGCTAGACCGCTCGTCTTCGTCCTCTGCATGGCGTTCTCTTTTGCTCTTCGGGCGGCCCATATAAAGCTGTTCGATCAGCAGAACAGCGCTGAGCAGACGTCATGACACGTTGTAACACTTGAACATTGACCTGTTGGGAACGTCGTGGTCATCGTGTGGCTACCGGATCTCCTCTGCATCTTGTAGTATTCATCCCGACCCTGAGAGCACCTCCCGACCCAGCGTCTCAGGCCTGGTAAGCCGTGTTTAAATTCCGAAGTAAAAAGGTGACAACAGACTTAACGTCGGACGTCATTGGTGGTTTGCGTTGGCAACGGGTAACCGCATCATCTGCTGGGCATCGACACCGACGCTTAAATATAATGCTGTAGCATCGTCACTAAACCGTTTGTTAGTCTTTGGATTTGGACCCGCAGCCGCAGCTCGTTGATTGGCATAAGGCACGATGATGGGCCCTCGGCCTTTTAGTAGCCAGGCTCCATCACGCTCTTATTTGGCCGGCCTACGAATATCAGCTTTCCGCCCTTCCGCAACCCTCCCGGCCTGATAAGCCCGAAGCCTGGGTCACCTCGGCGGCCCGCTGTAACGGCCGCGTAGACTCGAAGCTCGGGACGACCATCGCTCCTTGACGGCCGTGTCCTCGCGGACGCCGTCGCGTAGGACACGGGGTACCGGCTCGGTTTCAGGCACGTGGCGGTTTGTGACCCAGAGGTGTGAGGCTTCTGATGAAAACCTGTGAACAAGCCCCGTAGATTGCTGATCAACGCGTATCCTCACAGGAACGGGGCGGGGGAACACCTCGGCGCAGCGCAGGGCAGACGGTGTTACGCGGTGCCCGGGACTCTGCCTACCATCGGCGGGGAGGTTCTCCTTGTCGAGGTGCAGGGGCCCGGAGCCCTATCCATACTGTGACAAACGTGTGACAAACCAAAAGGAACCCGGAAACAGACAGACCCTCATCAGGGCCAATGCGAAATACTTACAATGAGAGATTACGGCGTCGGTTCAGATTGATCATCGTATCTACTAAATCAACCAATACGTAACGGGCAACGAACACATCACTAGCCAGATTATGTAGCTGTGGATCATCCCCCTCCCCGCCTCATCAGGTCTTGAACCATAGTCCCCCGCCAGCTTTTCTCGTCTTCACCATCCGCGCAGCAACCCAAAAGCATGTGCCCGCCATCAAACAAGTTCCCGCAAAAACCTGTGCCCCGACGTACTTCCCGTCTGCGGCGGAAATGATGGCCCCGGCAATCGGGGGCCCCGTCAACACGGCAAAGCTGACGATTGTAAACGTCATGCCCATCCGCGTACCCTGCTTCCTCGGGTCGCTCGTCAACTGGCTTAGAGCGGCAGGGAAAAGGCTCTGGATCCCGCTCGCCGCAATTCCGTAGAAGGGCGTCCAAGCGTACAGACCTGCTGTGGATGAAACGGCGACCCAGCAGTACATGAGAAGGCCGGAAGCCAGGGACATGGGGATGAGGGTGTTGATGGACCCGATGCGGTCGGCGATGTAGCCCGGCAGGAGGCGGCCCGGCACACCTACGCCGTTGAGAACGAGTAGGAGGTTGAGAGAAGAGTTGTAATTCAGGCCAATGATATCTCGGGTATAAGAGGCCAGGTAGTAGAAGGCGAAGAAAACGCCTAGGTAGTTCTATCGCACGCAGAACTTGCGTCAGCATCAACACCAGAAAGGAAAGAAAAGGGAGAAACCCATTCGGCATACCAGGAAGGATCCAACGGCGTAGAAGGTGTACTCCAACTCTTTAAATGCCGCCCACTCAACAATGCTTCCCGTCTTTCTCGGCTTCACCCTGGGCCTCAAGAACATGAATGCAACGACCAATGTGCCCATCTGCACAAACGCAATAGAGCGAATCGTCCAGCCGAAGCCAATGGACGGAAGCAGCTGCCTCACCATGGTCGGGTAGATCAAGCCGCCCGAAGAGCTGCCAATCGACACAAACCCCAGCGCAAGGCCCCGCCTCTTGTCAAAGTAGGTCGACGCCGTCGACAGCGCCGGGCAGAACAGGAGGCCGTTGCCGACCCCTAGGCAGATGCCCTGGGCGAGGAAGAAGTGCCAATAGCGCGTGCAGAAGGAGGTGGCGAGCATGCCGAGAGAGACGAGGACGAAACCGGAGATGAAGAGCGGGCGAAAGTAGCCGGCGTCGGTGAGGCGGCCGCTGAAGGTGCTTATGAAGAAGAGGAGGAAGACCTCGAAGGAGCCGATCCAGGCGATGTCGGAAGGCGGGCGGGAGAGGAGGGTGGTGTAGTACGACTGGAAAACGCCGAAAGAGTTCACAACACCCCTGGCGGGTTGTCAGTTTGGCTCGGGCGGGGATGCGCGCCGACCGGGAAGGGGATTAGACTCACCAGGTGTTCATAATAACCAAGTGGGCGCTGAAAACTGTGTGGGTCAAGTCAGACTCGTAGCCTCACCGGGGTACGTCTCGGCGCAACTCACTGGCCATCCATGCGGCCACACCTCCGTCGGGAGGCGGGCTGGGCGTGGCGCTCGACCTCGAGGTGGCCCGGCTGAGCTCCCGGCCGGCGATGCTGGCCGTGTCTGGCCCAGGGCCGAGATGGGCACTCGGGTCCGTGTTCGCGTCCTGCGCCACACGGGATCGGTCGTCGTCCGATGTGGACGGGTCGTTCCCCTTGGCCCCGTCGCCTCCGCTCTTCTCCAAGTCGGAGTCTGTGCGGACCGACATGTTTGTCACCTGTGCGTGCCTCTTCTCTGCATCTTGGGCGGCGCGGTCGGGAGGCGTGCTCATGGTTTCCCTATTGCGGAACAGCGGCGCCAAGCGGGATCCGGTCCTGAACGACTTGGGCGGGTGTATCTCCACAGTGAGTTTGTCAATGTCGTCATGCTTTTTCGGCTCGTGAAAGGACGGACGCGGGAAACTTTGGGGTTGATATGCGAATTCCCAAGAGCCGACGTGACGTGACGTTCGAACACGGTTCTAGCCCCGGGTTCGACGTCGCAACCTATTTATCTCTGCCGAGCAGTTCGTTTCGAAGTTTCCCAAGGGTAAGTCATGCGACGGTCGCCTTGAGACTGTAGGTATTTAATACGACTGCCCGAGTCATGAACAGCACTACCCTAGTACCCATCCACCCACGTCGGCGCCGACCCCGGCCGCGGCGGCGCTGGGACGGCGCGGGAGGGGAATGGGGGAATTGGCATCCACCTGGGAACCTACGCAAGCCGGGGTTGCATCGGCTAAACGAGCAGCGAAAATCCAATCTCGCGCGCGCGACCTGGTATCGGTAGACCGATGACGGATGGCCTTGCAGCCAACCACATTGCCAATGATACGGTGCAGCGCGGACAATCTTGGCTGGGATGATGAGGTGACATGCAGGAGTCAAAGGCACTGGCCGGGATGTTGTCCGTGCTGTTGCAGAGAGGGATGAACTTAGTGCCCGTCCTCCAGATCGTCCAGGTGAGACTATCTCGAGGACCACGGCGTCGGGGACGTGGACCTTGTGCCGGCGACCCCGCCGATGCCGGCTCCGGTGTCTTTTCGGGGGCCCAAGAAGGAACCAGGCGAGGCGTCGCGACAGAAGCATTTCTAGTGCGGCCCCATGCCGTGTATCGGCCTCAATTGCTTCGTATAGGTAGTTGAGGGTCGGTCGGGGACCAATATCTTTGATGAGGTATTGTTGGTTCGAAGTGATGACTCCTGGAATGGAAAAGCATTGACCAGCGGGGAGGGAAGGTTGGATGGGACACAGCGCTCTTTCCATGTCATCGTACCTACCTACCCCTACCTAGGCACACTAGGTAGGCAGATACCACACAAAGTACTATGTACGTACCTCGGTAGCTACACATGCAGTAGGTAGGTACGTATCTCAAAGTACCTACCTCACCTTTTGTTCGACTTAACATCCCGCCCTTGGTCATAAACCACCACCACAGCACGATGCATGCATTGCAAGGAAATCGAACAACTCGGATGCTCGTTTGCCTCTATATCTCTCTCTGCCTCGCTGAAGATCACTGGTTGCTCAGCCTGCTTGCCTAGACGCGCATAGCGGCCAAAAGCATAGCCGACCCTTTCCGCACGGCCAGTCCAACGCGCAACCAACGTACCAATGGCCAACGGCCGCATCATCCCTACTACTCACTCACATATTGACAAGACCAAATACGGCTTCTCTACCTGGCGACATGGCTCATCCCTGGCCAACCGGATGGCCGCCAGGCTGACTTCGTCCCTCCTCTTGCTGTCTGTTCGCTACCTTTCCGTCTGCCTTGACCCCCCAGTTCTATTCGACATCCCATTGGCAGCCTGCGTTAGTCGGGGTCGGCCTCCTGCATCATTTTCTGCGGCTTGTCGTGACGGTTGACATAGCCAAGCCGAGATCCATGTCCATGCGCATAACAGCATTCTGCGACCACGCATCCAACCCAGAGCCATAAACTCTCTCTTGACGAACCAGATGCCACCATCTCCTAACATCACCCCGTCATCTAGGTGCCCCAAAAAACCCCATGAACCTTCCAGACCGACCTCCCATTGCGGGAGTACTAGGCATCGGAGGGGGGTCACTTGAATCTACCCCCCCTCATCCTTGACTGAAATCACCTGTTGAAAGAGACTTCTTCAGATTGCTATGTGAGGCTGCGTCAGAGACACCCCATGAAAGAGGCCTACGTTGCCAACACATGAAGATTCCTGAATGGTCCCGCAGCAGCAGCCTACAGGCAGACGGCCAGTTGAGCATGCCTGTGGTGGCCATCCCTTTTAAATAAGAGTACGTTGCCCGCCCCGACCCAGGGCTTGTGATTTCCAGCTGATGAACATCTTCTCTCCAGCCATTCACCACAATCACAAACCCAAGTCCCCTTCCTCCAGAACTTGAAGGATACGGCATACATACCACCGAATCATCAGCTATGGCTTCCGAAGCATGGTAGGCAACTTTCTGACACCACCCACCTCCCTTGCAGTTATTGCACTGATACGAAGCTTCTTTAGGACTCGCTCGTCACGGAGCTTCAATTCTCCCGCTCCATGTCGCTTTTGGAAGGGTCCCGGATCGTGTCGTTTTGGGGACAAATGCAAATTTGTTCACGACAAAGCCAATAGCGATAGCCGCCGTCCCCATATGCAGCAGTCCAACCCCACGAGCAATCCTCCTAGTGCCGAACGCGAGAAGCTCTATGCCTGGAGGCGATTACGGCCTAAGCCAGCTGAGCTGCCTGTCCAGTTGGACCGCGAAACACCCAAGTACTTCCAAACGGCTTTTGAATTGGTGGAAGAGGACGTGGGCCTGGCACAAGAGGTAATCAAAGACATGGCCTCCGAGCAACGACTGCCAATCATCCGACACGTCATAGAAGGGGTTGCGGACAAAAGCCCCAAGGAGAAGGCTCTCATTTGGGAGTCTCGAATTCTTCCCCTGTTCTGCGTTCTTCTCCATCCGAGCGTCGTCGACTCCGTGGTTTTGGAGCAAGAAACAACGACTCTCTTCCGATCACTTCTGGGCATTGACGCTACCCGCCTTCGTCGCCTGTATCGCTTTCTCTTTGACCTCGTTGACCACTGGTCAGAGTTGAATTTCCAAAACAACGACAGTGACTCTGGCACGGAGGCCCTCGCGCTCGCCTGCGGCGTCTTGTCCAAAGTCATCAATACTAGTACGGCCAATATGGTTTGTGCACACTTCACCTCCATCGTCGACAAGATTCAGCTTCGCCTGGAAGTCTTTGGCAATAGAAAAGCCGACTTCCACACCATGCAAGCCGAGAAATATCTTGAATACGTCCGCCGACGCCTCGGCCTCGGCCAATCTTTGCCGAATGCCGCCCAAACCTCATCGATATCTTCGGGCACTTTGGCCGAGTTCACTCTGAGCCAGGACATGCCAGGAAGACTTTCTAGGCGCGGCCCACGTCACGACAACGACCATGCGGACATTTTAGACATAAAACTCATGCCCACCCATGAAGAGATCATGTCATCTCGGGACGAGTATCTGCCAGTTGCCAACCCTGCGCAGCATCACTTGCAAGGACTGCAAGGCTTGCTGGACAGGCACTTTCGTCTGCTCCGTGAGGACACGCTTCACGACCTCCGCAATGCAATCCGTGCCTGCGTGGATTCAGACGTCAAGGTGAAGGAGATCCGTAATAGAGTTCTTCAGTACGAAAGCGCTGTTGCCATTGATGTTTCCTTCGACTGGCGGTCCGGTCTTCGATTCATTATCAGGATTGATCAGCCACGAGCAGCCAAGGGCCTGGACAAGATGGGTAGAGCAGCTTGGTGGAACCAAGAGAAGAGGCTCGCGGATGGGAGTCTTGTTTGCATCGTTGACAAAGCCGGCAGCATCTTCTTCTTCCAGGTGTCGAGATCCACCATCCGCGATGCCGACAACAAGACACAGCAAGTGGAAACCGGAGAGCCAGAACAGGGTCCACGCTATAGCCTGCCCGACGACAAGGACTACGCCTATGTGCACTTACATTTGGTGGAAACCGGCACTGCGGAAGTCGAGAGATGTATGTTATGGTTCAAGACGACGGGTCTTTGGCAAACCCGTCGGCTTCTCGAATTCCCATCCATCCTTCTGCCGGCCTTTGCGCCTCCATTAAAGGCACTGCAGAAGATGTCACGGAGGATGGATGTGCCGTTCCAAAACCTCCTCACCCTCCGATCTGGCGACGAACCACCCGAGAACCCCCCGCCCCTTTATTCATTGAGGCCGGGGTTTTCGTTCAACCTCAGCTGCCTATCCAACGACGGGACGAAATTGTCCTATGCAACTGGTGAGGCTCCCACGCCATCGGAGCTCAGCCGACATTCCACTTTGGACTCGACCCAATCCGAGGCCGTCCTTAACTCCCTGAGAAGATCCTTTGCCTTGATCCAGGGCCCCCCTGGCACTGGCAAGAGTTACACTGGAGAAGCTCTGATCAAGGTGTTACTTGCCAACAAATCAAAAGCAAAATTGGGACCAATCATGTGTGTTTGTTACACCAATCACGCCCTGGATCAACTGTTGGAACACTTACTGGATGATGGTGTGCAGAACATCATTCGCGTCGGCTCCCGGTCCAAGTCAGAAAGGTTGGGTTCGGTGAATCTGAGGCAGGTTGTCCAGGTTGAGACACGCACGAAGATGGAAGGCCGATCACTATATGAATCCATCGACGTTCTGAATAGTGACACGGCCGAAATCACCACGAAACTATCAAAGTTCAAGTCTCTCAACACCCATGACAAAATCCGCCTCTTTCTTGCCGAGAGCCACCCCTCACAGCACGACCAGCTTTTCGGACCAGAACCCGAAAATGAGGAAGGCTGGCAGACTGTCCGCCATGCACGGAAGAAGGTTTTGAATGAGTGGCTGTCAGGTGGTTCCACGGTGAGAACCAATCGTCCGCTCCCTGAGCTCTATCGCCTACGTCTATCGAATTTGTCTCACCAGGAGCGCATCGTCCTCTACGAGGACTGGCTGCAGGGAGCGCTGCGCACAGAGCTTGAGAAGCTCACTGGGTTGCATGAGGCATACGAAAAGCACAAAGAACACAACAACATGGTACGGAGTGCCATTGACTTGCGGTGTCTCCAGCAGGCGAACATAATCGGGGTCACAACCACGGGGCTGGCCATGAACCTCGATCTCATACGGCGTGTTCAGGTCAAGGTCCTCCTCTGCGAGGAAGCAGGCGAGGTTCTGGAAGCCCATCTCCTCACCGCGTTGCTTCCCACGGTTGAGCATGCTGTCTTGATCGGAGACCATCTCCAGCTTCGTCCTCAGATACAGGACTGGAGGCTTCAGCGTGCGAACCCGGCAGGGGCCAAGTACTCTCTGGACGTGTCCCTGTTCGAGAGGCTTGTTCAGCCACCTCTTAATGTCCCTAGCCTTCCGTTCAGCATCCTCGACACGCAGCGCCGCATGCATCCGTCAATATCGGAGCTGGTGCGATTCACACTGTACCCGTCTTTGTCAGATTCCGATGGGGTCCGCGAGTACCCCGAGGTTTGTGGCTTAGCCAAGCGACTCTTTTGGCTACACCACGAGAGTCCCGAATCGGGACGGCATTCTGACCATGAATCCATCGAGACGTCACATTCAAACGAGTTCGAAATCGAGATGGTCTCGGCGCTTGTCTGTCATCTTCTGAGGCAAGGCGTATACAAATCGGGGGACATCGCCGTGCTGACGCCATACCTGGGGCAACTGAAAAAGTTGCGACAGAAACTCGGATCCATCATGCAGATCATTGTCAATGACCGTGACACGGAAGATCTGGCTGAGATTGACTCATCTGACGAAAGACCACAAGCTGCCTCTCGGGGAGAGGCTGCAAAGGCATCTGCCATGCACGGGGTTCGTGCCGCAACAGTAGACAACTTCCAAGGCGAAGAGGCCAACGTTGTCATCGTGTCGCTCGTCCGCAGCAATAACGAGAAGAGATGTGGCTTTCTCAGCACTCCCAACCGCATCAACGTTCTGCTGTCTCGCGCAAAGCACGGCATGTACATCATTGGCAACTCCAACACCTCGAGCCACGTGCCCATGTGGGCTCAGGTCGTTGAGATACTGCAGAACAGCGGTAACTTCGGCCGGGAGCTGGAACTGCAATGTCCGCGGCATCCGGAAAGCAGGAGTCTGGTTTCACAGGCTGAGCAGTTTATCCAGTTCTCGCCGGACGGAGGATGCAACCGCAAGTGCGATCGTCGGTTGGCCTGTGGCCATTCCTGCACCGGGCCCTGTCATTCAGACTTTCTCCATAACGCCTTGAAGTGTCTCGAAGACTGCGTGAAGCCCAAGGAAGGCTGCGATCACGCTTGCCGGAAACGCTGTGGCGAGCCCTGTGATAAGCTATGCCGAGAGGTGCTGCGTGGCGTCGGACTCGAGCTCCCGTGCGGTCATACAATTGACACGGTGGAATGCTGGAAAGCCCAAGATATTTCCAACATTAGGTGTACCGTCCAAGTCAACAAGCAGGTTCCCGGATGTGACCATACGGTCAAGGTGCCCTGCCACGTGGATGTTGCCAGAAACAGTTACCTGTGCAAAGCAGAGTGTGGTTTCCAGAGGCCCTGTGGCCACACATGCAAGATGCGGTGTTCGACTTGCCGCACACGAGAGGACGGGGAGGTGACCGGAGAAGACCATGGGATATGCAGACAGCCTTGCGAAAGGCCTTTCACAGCATGCAGTCATCGCTGTCGAGAGGCTTGTCATGGAGACATGGGCTGTCCGCCCTGCTCTGCCCCCTGCCAGAACCAGTGCGTACACTCCAAGTGCGGGAAGAAGTGCCACGAGCCCTGCGCCCCTTGCGCAGAAGAGACGTGCTCTTCCAGCTGTCCACACTCCAGTTGCAGTATGCCGTGAGTTCTTGCCTCCAAGACGAAGAACCCGATTGAATAGCTAGCTGACCCTCGTCGATTTCACAGATGCGCAGCACCGTGCGATTGGATTCCTTGCACGAAGCGGTGCCCCAAGCAGTTGGAGTGCGGCCACCAATGTAAGTATATCGCACCAGGTGTCAGGCAGCCCGCTTTGGTAAATATGCGGAATGCTAACTGTATGCCAAGGCCCTTCCGTTTGTGGCGAGCGTTGCCCATCCCCGAGATACTGCCAAGTATGCGCCGTGGAGGATATAAAAGACAGGACCGTGGACTTCATCATGATGGAGAACTACCGGTCCATCGAATTGGACGAGGATCCATGCATCTTCCCAGACTGTGGTCATTTCCTGACTCTCACGACAATGGATGGTCAGATGGGCCTAAGGGATCACTACGAGATATCGCCAGAAGGCGCGCCCGTAGCTCTCAAGACCGGCTCGGAACCCTTCTCCGTAACTAAAGTCAATGTGTGCCCCGAGTGCCGAGGGTCTCTCAGGAACATTTCGAGATACGGAAGAATTGTCCGCCGTGGTCTGTTGGATGAATCAACCAAGAAGTTCATCAGCTGGTCTCGAGGGGCATGGGAGGCACTGATGGAGGCGTTCCTCGATGCGCAAGACGCCTTGCAGAAGACGGACAGTGCTGGTTCCGTGTTGCCCGCAGAGCACCCAGGAGGCTTCAGCCTTGAGGGCTCCCGATCAGACCAGGTGAAGCGGGTCCTCAAGCTCACCGGGACGAAGCGACATAAGAGCCTGAAGCGGCTGCGGAGCCAGATGGCGGACTTCTTCGGGTCAGTCAAGCGAGACGAGCAGCCGTACCAGCGGGTGGCTCACCTAGTCTGGCACGCCAATAAGCGGCGCAAGACCAGCGATTTCTCCTTTGACGAGTCGGCCATCCAAATGGGCGGAGTGCTGCAAGCCATGAGCCTCCTCCTTCGCTGCGACCTGCTACTCATCTCAGACTACCTCGGCCTGTGCCGCGCCGCTGAGGGGAACGTGGCGGCGAAGGCGGCCAAGATCGATGTGGCGCCGCACATCCGGGACTGCGAGAGACTGATCCATGCCGCGTACACGAGGAACTTCCACCGACTGGAGCTCGAGGGACACATCTTACTCGTCAAGTTCTGCTCCTTGGCCCACCCCGATGACACCATCCCGACGAAGACGACAGTCGGCCCCGACGTGGAGGCCCCGGCACGAGACAAGGTCAGAGACCTCGGAGAGCGCCATCTACAGCTGGCAAGAGAGCTCGTCCGACAGAAGCCGTCGACGGCCCCGCTGGAACCCGAGCTCGAGGCCGCGGGACGCATGCTGCACGGCGGCGTCTTTTACAACGAGGTATCGGCCGACGAGTTGCGCGAAGTCTACGCGGCCATGAGCAAGGAGTTCAGGGGGACAGGTCATTGGTACACATGCCTCAACGGGCACCCGTTCACCATCGGCGAGTGCGGCATGCCCATGGAGCGTGCCCACTGTCCGGAATGCGGTGCCCCCGTTGGCGGTCAGAATCACGAAGCGGTCGAGGGCGTACGACGTGCGGAGGATATTGAGGCAATTGCTCACGGTGTAGATAGAATGGGGCTCTGATACAGAAAAGATAGACTTGGTCCGCTGCTCGGTTCGTTGTGCCTTGATCGTTGACCGACAGTCCTGTCGACGTGGTTGATGATGCAAAGGCATGAGACCACCATATCAAGCAATGTCAAGCAAGCACAAAATTCGGGCTAAACATCGCGGCAACTGAGCGCAGTAATCGTCATGGACCTCCAAAATCATTCATTTAGAATACTTGCAGTAGCATACATAGGTGCAATTGGTCCCTTGTCCCCATCCTCATCTCAAACACACATTATGACTCGCAGTGAGTCTCCCAAGAAATTTGGATCAAATGGTGTGGCAACACAACAATCCTTCCATCACCCTTGTAACAATCCTCATCATCCATTTCAGTCAGTGTTCAGTCATCCTTCATTCATCTTCAGCCCAAAAGATGCGGGTTGATTCTGGAAGATGACAAGATCCTCAGGCCGCTGGGAGTCCAGAACCAAGTCGGACCGCCGTGGAGCTGGGAGGCCTCTGGCTGGGTCTGTCTTCTGCAGCTCGCAGTCACGCAATCGTTCTTGGTCCAGCCAACTCGGAGGTCATCGGCCCACCAGACCTGAGGGCGACCACTGATATTCAAAGTGACCAGGATTGAGCTGAGACCAGTGAAGCCCAGAGCCGAGAAGGAAGTGAGAGGGCAGTCGGAAGACTTATTGCAGGCGTTGACCCAGGCTTCTTGGCTGGCGGCTTCGGTCTCCTTGGCTTGGCTTGCATCCCATCTGTAGCCGGTAAAGGTGAAGACACAAAGCTGGTTGGGGACAGCAGAGTCGGAGTAGCAGCCCAAGTTCATGCCGAGGAAGTCAAACTGGAAACAAGGAGACGAAGCAAGCTTTCCCATGCCAATCTGGGCCGTATCGCCAGATATGCCGTTCGCGGAGCTGTTTGACAGGACTGGAGGCACGAATTCGAGAAGGTGGCCGCCAGATGATGGGATAAACGGCATCAGCGGAGGTGGGCCAACCAGGAACCCCTTGGAGAACCAGAAGCGGTGGTAAGGGTTGAAGAAGGGACCGGAAGGCACATCGTCAAACTGTAGGAAAGCGTCAGTATCACGAAGGCCAGACAAGGAGAGGTGAGGAGCTTACATCCAGGTTGAGATTGCCAACCTCTGTGGTGCCTGTGCAGATCGGCGTCGGCACCGGTGTTACTGCCGTTGCGGTTGTGTTGAGATAGCGCTTGTGAATGGCGGTGGGCTGTACGAGGCTGGTGAAGACTCCTGTGGTGAACACTTGGATAACCGAGCTCTGGACAATGACACTCTGCCAAGTGGACAGGCCGACAGCAGAGGTGACGGAAGAGATGACAGCAGATGTGATAGGAGAGATGACAGGTGAGACAACAGCAGAGGTAACAGGGGAAACGATAACAGAGGTAACAGCAGACACGACAGTAGAGACAACGGCAGAGCCAGTGACTGAAGCAGAGCCAACAATGGTGGAAGCAGCACCAGTTGGAGCAACAGCGTCGACCGTGGTGACCAGAGATTCATAAGGGAACGTGTAAGTGGTTGTGGCATCGGAAACAACATTGACCAAGGTGCTGGTGAGAAGAGCTGTAGAGACAATTTCAGACGACAATGTGCTGGAGCATGAAGTCGTGGTTGCAGCGCCGGGAAGAGCAGAATCGATGCCCGGGACGACCGGCCAAAGGGTAACAACAGAAGGAGAGGCCTGGGGGAGTGAGGCAAGAGTGCCAGGGTCAACGACGACAACAGAATCGTAGCCACCGAGTAGGGATGTGGGAACGCCGACAACGGATGTCGGAACTCCAACGAGAGATGTTGGTACAACAGTAACAGACGTTGGTCCACCGGCAACAGGAGTCGCTTGGGAAACAGTCAAAGTTACCGCTGAACCAGGAATGAAAGGAGGGAGCTCAGTCTGGGCTGGGTCGCCGTAGCCACCCGGGAAGTTACTGGAAGGCGTGGCGCCAACGCCACCTGGAGAAATAGTGACCGTGACGGGTGCCCCCGGGGTGTCCTGAGAGTTTCCAGAGCCGGCTGAGGGGGAACCGGGAATCTGTCCAGAAGGGAAAACACTGCCAGGGACCGACCCTCCAGAAGCCGGGATGCCAGAGACGGGAGCACCAGAGGTGAGGATGCCGGATGCACCAGGAAGAACAGGGTCACCGTAGCCGCCGGGAATCGAAGTCGCCATGTCGCTGCCAGGCACAGGGGTGGGGAAGCCAGGGCTCGGTGCCGGACGGATGACTGTGATGGTGGAAGCAGCCGGAGTGCTCGCGCCCCCAGTGGCAATGTTTCCAGGGTTGCTTGGAAGCTGGGTAGTGTAGATGACTGGGCCAGCAGCCGATGGTTGGGGAAGTGTGAGAGTGAAAACGACAACAGAAGGGTCCGAAGGGTCAGCTGGCTGGTTGTTGACGCTGGGAAGGGGAGCGTACAAAGTTGTGGTGACAACGGTTGCAGCTTCACCCGAGGGAGTATCCGAAGGGTACGCGGGGACGATCGTAGTGGTTACACCGGTGCCAGCGGTAGAAGGAAGGTTGGCGGAGGGTGACGTGAAAGTTGACACAACCGTTTGAATGGAGTAACTCAACGAACCGTCGGGTCCGGGGACCATGGTGGGAATGTAGCGAGTCGTCGTGCCCACTGATCCTCCAGGGACAACACCGCCTGGAGAACCGCCCGGGACATCAGTTGAAACTGCAGGAATGCCAGTGATGGCGGGTCCTGTACCGGTAGGCGAAGGGAAGGTGACTGTGAAGCAAGTCACAAGTGCGTCAACAACAGGTGTGCCTGAGACAGACCCGGGGCGTGTGCGATACAGCGTGGTGGTGAAGGAGGTAACAGCTAGGTCATCACCAGGACCAGAGGAAGGGCCAGCCGCCGCAGGTGCAGTGATGGTGTAGGTGAACAGCTCTCCAGACCCAGGGTCAGCAGCGCCTGTCGTCAAGGCAGAGCCTGGAAAAGAGCCAGTGGCGGTAGGCTGCGGGAACGTGACCGTGAAAGTTGCCACCACGGTGTCAACAGAGGGCGTGACCTGGCCTGGGTAGGCATTGGTTCTGTGGAGAGTCGTAGTGATGACCGTCACGCCAGCAGTATCGCTACCAGAACCAGGGCTGACGGTAGCAAAGGGGCAAGAGGTGGTGGAGGCAGGAGAAACGCCAACGGATGTGCCGAGATCAGGAGAGGAGAGGGTAGCAGTGACGACGGTGAAAGCAGGGGGCTGGGTAGGGGATGACTCCCAAGGCTTGGGACCTGTGTACTGGGAACCACCGGTAGGAGGGTCGACGATGATGGTGAAAGTGGCCGGAATGCTGGGAGAGGCAGGAGACCAAGGGGAATGGGCAGAGGGCAGAACGGTAGCGGTGACAGTCTGAACGACGACCGAGGGAGCAACGTCATTGGCAGAATCGACCGTGACGAAGACCGTCGTAGCCGCGGGACAGGTTGGCTGGGCGAAGACGCCAGCTCTGCAATGAAACGTTAGCTGGGTATGCCTGGAAAGATTGGACGTCACCGTGGAAGGGAGACTTACGCCAAGGCCGACATGGCCACGATTGAGGCCCGCATTTTGGACGATGGGTATTCTCGGTTGATCTAGGTGCAGGAAGAACACGTAGAGAACGTAGGTGATGTGGAAAGCAGCAGAAGATTGAACACGCAGGTAGCGAAGACAGGAAAGGAAGAGAGTGTTGGTCTGTATGCGTACGACAATTGAAATGAGAGTGGACAGAGGAGTGAAGAGGTTGGGATGAGGATGGAGAGGAGAAGAATCAGAGGGGAGAGACGGGTATGCGAGAGGATTAAATAGGGCGAGGGGGAGGGGGGGGGGGGAGGGGGAGAATCACGCAGAACCGCCGTGAAGGCAGATAGATGGCAGCAGGCATGGCTGTCTTCTTCCTTACCTCCTTCCTGGAGTTGAATGGTTGAAGAGGAGAGTCGAACATGAGGCAGTCACGCACATGTGTGCTTGCCGGTGAAGAAAAGGGAAAGGAAAAGGGGGCAGTGGGCCACCTCGTGAAGAGGAAGACCCAACTCGCCGGGTCCTTCCTCGATGCATAGGAATGAATGGATGACTTCAAGTACATCCATCGGTGGTGTTCTTCGCCCCGACAACCTCCCAGGTGCTGTCTGTAGATAACGGGAGTTGAACACACCGACAAGACTTGTGATTTTGTAGCAGTCTCGATCGGTCTGTCTGTATCAAGGTATACATACGCGTCCACCATCTCACAATCCGGGAGCATTCCAAGTGGTGTTCCTTCCAAGAACTGCTCCTTCCCTCGTCCATGTGTCTGCCCACCCGTACGTGCAAACTTCCATGATAGTGTGCCATGTAACTAGGTACCTAAGTAAGTATGGAAGGAAAGGCAGGATCATCGAGCACGGCACGCCTTCCACCACGTACCCGTGGAATTTTCAGCCCCGGTGATCATCACGCCATGTAGGTGTACCTAGTAACGTCATCTTTCCGTCGAACCGGAACCGTTCCGGACAGACAATGGAAGGAGCAGTATTCTCGGTTACTTCCTGCGTTGCGATGCAGGACGCGGCCCCTCCGTGTGCCTCGTCAAGGCGGCTGAAGCTTGGCTGGCTGGCTGGCTGGCTGGCATAGAGATGGGCTGTTTGCAAACCGAAAGACGACGAAGGTGGGTTCATCATGTTGAAAGTTTCATGTTCGAGTGCAGAAAGAAATAGGGGCGAATGAATGGTCAATTGCTTGCTTGCTAGCTAAAGTGAGATATCAACACAGCCAAACCTGGCGTCAGGGTACCTCTTAGACGGGATCATCTTCGTAGGGCGGCGGCGGCGGCGGCGAGAGAGAATCTCCCACCAAGCTCTCTGTGGCCTCTCGCCTCTTTTCGTCCTCGACCCTCGCCGCCCAAAGGCCGGCCCCCGCCGACGTGGTGAGCAGGAAGAAGAAGGACAGCACGGGGATCAGCTCGAGGATCATGGCGACCGTGCCAAACCAGACGTACTCCCAAGTCCTCGACTCGATCTCCTTCTTGGCTTCCTTCTTGCTCAATCCCCGCAGGTGGAACCATCGGTAATGTGCCAGCTTGCCCAACCGCGTGCCCGTGATGATGATGAAGGCCGGGGTGCCAACCACCGGAACGAAGTTGAGCGGCAGGAAGACGACGAGCTCGATGATCTGGATCATGGACCAGGGCGTGAAGACGGCAGGGGTCGTCGGCTTGCCGAGCATCTGGACTGCGGTGGGGGCATCGTGGAAGAGGATCCGGTGGGGTGCGACGAGATCTGCGTGCGATTCCTTGACGAGAGTGGCCTGAGGGCGCAGCCGTCAGTCAGTACAGGTAAGTGTAGGAGAGAACGGGCGAGCGAGAGATGCGAGACTCACATCGAACACGTCCACTCGACACTCGTCGACGAAGAAGCCTTCAAAAAGACCCTGGATCACCACGAGCCCCTCTCCGAGGACCAGCACCACCGCGTTGACCCAAGCTCCCCATCCGTGGAAGATGGCCAGGAGGGCGAACTGTGGCAGGAAAGCAAAGGTAAATAGGATAAAATAGACGAGAAAGGAGATGATGGAGAGGGGCAGCAGGCGGCTTAGGAACAGCGGGTAGAAGTCCTTATTCCGCAGGAAGTACCAGATGCCGAGGATGGGATACCACGCTGCGATGCCGGCGCGCTTCAGGTACCCGACCGGCCGCTGGACAGGCCGGAGGAGGTGATCGGCGCGCGACGACCACGCCGGCGGCTGTGGATCTGACATTTAAAGATATTTCTTGCAGAGGGTATAGTCGTCGGTCGTCGGGCTTGAATTAGTTGAAGATCGTGAGTCCGTAGTGCTCGACGGCCGCGCACTCTTGTTTTGCTCGAGGCATAAAACTACGGAGTGTACGGCGTAAAGAGTACGTACAGAGTACCTAGGTACAAACAGGTGGCTTGGTGGGGGAGGTGCATGGCCTGTCTACGTCATCCGGATTGGAGGCGTTCTATTGGCTAAAACCGATGACCGCCCCATATATCCGTAATTGGGCTATCCATGCAGCCATTCTCCTGCGGCATGTCACATCAAACACCCGTCCCGCCAGCTGGTCATCGAGCTTTCTATGATCTTCTATCTCAACCTAGGGTTCTTTTCTGACGGCCGAGTCTCGCTCATATACTGCAAATGAATATGAAAATTTATTTATTGTCGAGATACTTCCTTCTGCCTTGACATCAGTCTGGGCTGAATGATGGCTATACTGTTCCTTGAGTTGGCCAGAGAAACTCCTGTCTCCGCATTAGTGCCTTCTCGGGCCCTATTGAGATGGGCAAAAGAGCGCTTTGTGCGCATGGCCTACCGACGTGGCATTGAACTCGAACGAGGGCGGCACGGCCTTCAAGACATTGAAGCTCTTTTGATCAATAAGCTGCGCCTTGGCGGGCAGAGGCCTGTCGGGCGCTGACGGAGACTGTGCCTGGACCCTCGAGAGGAATAGACCGGCGGTGACCACTACTGCGAAGGCCATCACGGATCGCTGGGCAAAGACTACAAGCTTCTCTACCTGGAGGCGGGAACACTTGTGTTGCATACCAATTCACTCCCTTAATATATCCCCAACGCCAAGGCCAACGCTTCTCTCGCCGACCGCCCATTGCTGCGAGGATGCGAGGGGTAGGAGATTGCAATCTAGCCCGTCTAGGCCATCTTCCAAGCCAGATTTCTGAGCTCTTGAATCTGGCAATGGGGATCGCAGGGAAGCCTGCCTCCGCCGCCCACCCCATGATATTGGGACGGAGAGTTGTCCGATTCGAGGATCGGCAGTTAAGCTTCCCCGACTACAGTCAACATTGCGGTGGATACTTCATTGAAGGCCTTATTGCTCGATGAGAGGGAGAAATAGGGAGCAAGGTAATATAGAGTGGGATCCCATGGGGTTGCGGAGTGCGGGGAAATAATAGCTTGAGAAACAAGGACGAGTCAATGTAACGACACAAGCATGGATGCAGTTAAACCATGCAGGAAACTCCATCTTTATCTAATGAATGGCTTTTGTGTGTCGTCCAACGTGTCTTTTAAGCTTACATCGGGACCCCTATTCTCGGGGTTAACGAACCACGACGCAACACAGGAAGGAAGATTGCTAACCTTGAATAATTCAGGTAAGAATCAACTTTGTCGCCATGCCAGCTACCTGGCATAAACCTAACGATGCAAAGGGGCAGCCATCCTCAGCGGTAAGAAGCCCGGGGAAGCGGGTCCGACGGAGAGCTCTCCGCCGATCGTCAGGTTCATCATGAAGCTCCTCAAGACGAGGTTAAAATCGATGTTGCAACGGCATCCTTTGCCATGTGCGTCGCCATCGAGGCTTGACAGTCTCACTTGCAACTACATAGTTGGCGAGCAGCAGCAGCCGAGGAACGAGATGTGAACAAGGCCAAGGCCCCATCCATGTCCAGAAACTAGGCTTCAAAAGAGTAAAAGATTAACGCAACCAACAATCTCTTTGTCATTCGTCCAACTTTGGGCTCAACAAGCCGGCCAAAGAAGGCATCCTCTCTCCCGGGAATCATGACGCGGCCTCACAAGCCTGCAGCAAAAAGAAGGGATTTTGACAACTGTGAGGTTCGAACTCACGCCTCTTTCGAGACCAGAAAACACCCTCCGCTGTGGGGAGGGAAGATCAGAAGGTGGGACCTCGTCACTTGAGTCTGGCGCCTTAGACCGCTCGGCCAAGTTGCCCGGATCGTCGATAGAAGATTTGGCAATCGAAAACAACCAATGTCCTCGGCGTCTAGCAAGACGCGATTGCGAGCTCAAGACTTGCAGCAACCGACGACTGAAAACCCATGGGAACACGGTCTTTGTGTACATAGTAGGCCAATATCAGAAGGCTGTTTATGTTGGACATCCGGCGAAGAAGAAATAAGCCTGTACTGGTCTGTACCACTGCATCTGTTCTTCGGCTCTTTTTCAGTGTTTTCTTTCAAACAGGCGCTTAGTAAATCTATTGAGACTAACAATAACAGTCGATCTGGTGATGCCTAGAAATATCACGAGTTTTCCAATCCCTCCTGCTATCAAAGCAGGCCTTCCTGGAAATCAATCAAATATCTTTGAAAACTGATAACTTCCCGACATGAGCACCTGCTTGCCGTACTCTGGCCGCAATATCTAGGATATTAATAAAATCCTCAATGCAACCCCCCCCCCCCCAGCTTTCTTACTATCCCCTCATAGAGGATCAAACCGTTATTTACCCTTATAAATATGAACGTGACTTCTAGACCGAATGGCCCATTGCGTTGCTGGAAATGGGAGAATCCCCAGCGAACGACTGCCTCCGTGAGCAACGTTGACAGCGGCCTGGAGTAATTATGTGGGAAGATTTCCTACACTGACCACAGATTGCAGCATGACTTATTGAAAGTATGACCCAAGTGATTACCGAGCAGGTATCATCAAACATAGCTCCTAATGGCCATGTTCTTCAGATTTTGGGTTGCACTACCCTGAGAGGCAGTCCATGAGACGTCGCTCTATAGGCCACGTTGGCTAACATATCCCCACACATTTTGGCTTCCTCATGAATATGATAGTTAGGTTGTATGATGGACTTTATCGTCGTTGAGAACGGCTCCCTCCGCTGGGCTATGGCTCCGAGCACGATACCGACGACCACAACATCAGGCTTGGCAGCGGTGGCTCCGCCTCAGATTGGACTCCAACTGACGGCATTTTCAAGAATGTCATATATTCTGTTCACAAGCGGGACGGCTATGTCGGCAGCGATAAAGCGTGCTGGAAGATGCGGCATCCAAACGCGACGAGGCTTATACAATCGGTGAGGCGGAGTTCAGCTCACCATCCTCGCCTGCCACGTATAGCAGCGACCTGGCAGCTGAACGCTCCCGGAGCTACCGACACCGACGCACAATAATATTGTTTCCTTGGATGCAACAAGCCAAAGGACAATACGTGGGACGATGGCCGGACGTGGTCTGATGCTCTCTCCCTGTCTCGGGCTAGAGCCGACTTCCAATTCCATCCCGGCGTCCATCCCACATGCGGCTGATGGACGTCTCCACGCGGACGGCTTCCCTGAACCTTGCAGACGGAGAGAAACTCAGTGCGCGCGTGGTCTTTTTTTTTACTGGCGACGATGGGTATGGTCAGGACCGCTTCGTATGCCAGCGCACAGCTGAACCCGAGAACAAATGCCGATTGGCTGCAAGTACGGAACGGAAGCGAGACGCGTCCCACAGGTCTATTGGGATCGATAGTTTTCCTTATTCGGAAGACGCCACGCTCGCGTATTATGCCAGGGGTCAGGGGATACAGCTTTCACGAGGGGTCCGATCCTGGAGGACGAGGGTTGGTCTACTGCGTAGTGTGAACAGAAAACCCTTGTCGGGAGGTCGGCATATAGTGTTTAACCATCAGAGTAACCTCCGAGAGTCCATTCAGGGAAAAGGCCAGCTGCGAACTACCCGCGTCATAGATGTTCGTGCGTCGTCTTACTTGATCGAGGCTTTGCGCTCCGCGCCGCACTAACTCGGGAGGTGATCAATCGCGTACGGGTACGAGCTTACTAGCCTTTTCCTCATCTCCGCTGGCGGCCGGGTTTTGTTGACACGAGTCGGGAAGAGTCGTCCCCAAAGGTGCCCCTTGCAACTTACCACCCTGAGACATCTCAAGGCTAAGCTCCCGCTAATCAATTAATGCCAGAGAATTCGCGTGTACGAGTCTGAGCGAGAGACGAGCTGAGCCACGTGGAATGAACAGCTTCGACACATGGCGACATTGGGCACGAGCGTGAGTCTGAGTTCTCTGGGAATCCCATCCCGACTGCTTGGGACGGTCGGTCCCAGGACTTTGGGACTGTGTTGCCCTGTTGATATGTCCAAGACAGCGTGCCTGGGGTGAACTTTACCTACCTTGGAGCTCATTCGCTTGGTTCCTCTCGTAGATCAATGCAAGGGAGCAGAACCCCATCTCTATCTGTATGCGGTCCATCAGCCGCTCTGTATCATCGCGTATCGTCTCTCGGCACGTCTGCTCTTTGAGCGGCAACCCCGGGCCCTTCAATTCCTGAGATGCCAAGAAAGCACGTTATAGAGAAGACGACTGGGCTGGCTCTTTCGACGGCGCGTAAAAGTCGAGGGAGACGAGGGCGCGCAAGGAAAACATGTGTTAGCACAAAGAGGCTTGTTTGTTGAGAGCTGAAGGCGTCCCCCCCCCCCCCCCCCCCCCCATGGCAGCCAATGCCTCCCGCACCGACAAAGGGGGGCGGTCTAGTCGACGCCAACCCGCGAACCGCCTCTTTCATCAGGCGATGGGGATCCCGAGCCCACTCGACGAACCGATTAGGCTTTTTGCCCGACTTTGCTTTGTGAGAGATGCTCGGCGGGGCGCTCAAATCGAGTACGGGCTAATACTCCCCAAGTGAGGGCATGATACGAGGTGATGATGGTTCGACTGGACCAAGATATAAAGTCTTCCTATTGCCCTCTTCCTCATATAGCTTGTCTTTGATCATCATCCCACTCATCATCATCACTCTTCTCCTCATCACTCTTCTCCTCATCATCATCAACTCCACCATATCGACTATTCGTCTCCCATCTTTCACCTTCAGCATGCGTTCCGCTCTCATTCTTGCCGCCGTCGCCGGCTTCACCACTGCCAACCCGGTTGCTCCTCGTAGCACAACACCTCAGGGCGGAATCGACCTGAAAATCTTCGATGTGAGTGGCGGTCTCTCGTGCCGGCTTCTTGAACACTTGATGAACTAACACGACTCGCAGGCCGAAACCAAGCCGACCAAGGTCGGCCCGGCCGTCGGTGCCAGCTCCGAGAAGCCAACTTACAACGCGGCACAGGCACAGGCCGCTGCCGCCCAGGACGCCGTTGAGAACCCCGTCGCAGCTGCAAAGCCGAGCGTGAAGGCTCGCGATTCGACCTGCACCGGCTCCAACCGAGAGCCCGACGGCTATGGTCCTGTGCCCTCGCCCGACACCTACAGCTCCTTCATGTCGTCGACTGCGCTCAGCAACATTGCCAGCGGAGCGGTGGTTCCTCAGGGATATAGCCTGGCCTTCCAGGGACTTCAAGCCTCCGTCTCTGGCCCGTCATACCAGGGTCTCTACACCCTGCGGACGTACGACCCCATCCAGTGCCAACAGGTATGCCTCAGCTCTGCCACGAGAGAAAACCACGGCTAACACACTGGACCAGTACTGCGACGCCGCTCCTGCATGCTACAGCTTCAACCTGTTCATTGAGAGAAACCCCAAGTTCACCCCGAGCGACACCTGCGTCGACCCGGAGAGCATCACCAACTACAAGTGCACGCTCTGGGGAGCCCAGCTATCCGGAGACGCTGCCACGAACCAGGGCCAGTGGAGATACCAGTTCCAAGTCGGCATCACTGGATCCAACGGTATGTCCCATCTTTCCGACTCCCCCGCGTCCTCATGCTGGCGATGGATACTAACACGCCCAAAGGCTACAACAAGAACGCACCCCCGCCCTCGAATCCCGGCTTTGACGCTCCCGTTGCTTTTGGTGGCGCCACCCAGGCCCCCAACTCATACATGGGCTCCAAGTACTACCCCGGCCCCTTCGACCCCAGCCAGTGTGCCAGCGCTTGCGTGGCGACCACCCAGTACGACCACGACCACCCGAACTCCGACGGCACCTATGACGCCTGCAACTTCTTCAACGCCTACGTCCTCAGCGAGAACAACGTCCCCCAGGGAACCTACTGCTCCATGTACACCAAGCCTTGGGACAAGAGCTACAGCACCAACTACGGACAGTGGAGGGGCAACGACTACTACTCGGTCTCGCAGAGCTACGGCTACACGCTCACGGTCCAGGACTCGGGCAAGATCTAAGACAAGGTGCCGCCCATCCAAGGCTCTCGGCGGAGTGGGCCGACCGGCCCCGTCCCGGCACAGTCTCCGCCTCCCTCCGGCACCCTCCGCGAGGAGTCTGAGCGGGAAAAGACGAAGGACTGTACCCGAGGGCGGCGGCACGCGCCCACCGCCTGGCCAAAATCGGTGTGATGAGAGATACGCCAGGCGAATTTTCCTCTTTTTTTTTATTTCTTTTTCCCATATCAGCGAAGCGGTTTATATTTCAAGCGGAGACGTATAGACTATGTATTTAATACTTGACTTGCATAAAAATTGAGTTGTTCCCTTCAAGTAGCAAGAGCTGGTAGAACAGAACAATGCCTCAGCGCCCGTGGCTTAAGTCTGTGTGTGAATACGTTGGACATTATACCGCTACATTTTCAATGTAGGCACGCTTTAGTGACCATTTTTGCTTGACAAAGAGGAACAGCCCATATGTTGCACTGATAAGATGATGTGACGACTGTGCGAGATGTGCACAGCTGATAGTTTGAAATGATGTCGCTGAAACCCCATCTCATAGCAGCACTTGATGATCTATGGTGTCAAAACGTAACGAGCATATCTCATCTAGCAAAAGAGCAACACCTGTTTCTCACTCGCAAGAGGGAGTAAGGCCCGGGTAGAATACGACATGTCCATGTGCCTGCATCGCCAAAAGACAGTCGTCCTTGAAGCAGATACATGTTCCCTTCTATTCTCTAGCTTATCTCTGTTGATTCTAGAAAGAAATGCCTTCTTATGCATTTCAGCAGAGACAAAAACTCGCTCGTCACAACCAGAGAAAACAAACAGTGTTGTGATTCCTCGTGCTCGTAATCCATCTAGCGACCAAGGACCAATCTAAACTGTATTCTGAAGTCCCTTTTCTTTCAACCCGAAACCCAGCCAAACTCGGGGCAAAAAAGCAAACACCAAGCAAAAGAAACTCCCAAAAAACCAAAAGGGAAACGATGCTCAGCAGTCGGGAACACTGACGGGGATATTGAAAGGCACGCTCGTCGCCAGTCCGCTCAAGCTGGTCTCCTTGAACTCGTTCCTCATCCCCTTGGCCGTCAGACGCATGGCCCGGATGGCGTCGTCCAGCCTGACCTTCTGCGTGCCCGTCTCGCTGCTCAGGGCGAGGTTGGCGCTCGAGATGGCCTTGATGGCGCCCAGCGCGTTCCGCTCGATGCAGGGCGCCTGCACGAGGCCGCCGATCGGGTCGCACGTCAGGCCCAGGTTGTGCTCGATGCCGATCTCGGCCGCCTGCTCGATGGCCTCGGGGCTGGCGCCCATGCAGGCCGCGAAGGCGCCGGCGGCCATGGAGCAGGCGACGCCCACCTCGGCCATGCACCCGCCCTCGGCGGCGGAGATGGTGGCGCCGCGCTTGTACAGCATGCCGATGGCGGCGGCGGTGAGAAGGAAGGTCGGGATGTCGCGCTCCGGGTCGTCGCTGATGAACTCGATGGTATACTTGAGCACGGCGGGGATGATGCCGGCCGCGCCGTTGGTCGGCGCCGTCACGATGCGCCCGCCGGCCGCGTTCGTCTCGTTGACCGCGATGGCGTAGACCGTCAGGTAGTCCATCGTCGGGAAGGTGGTGCGGCGCGCGGGGGAGGGCGTGATGGGATGGTCGAGCGAGCCGATGATGCGAGGCGGTTGGCGGCGGCCGATGCTGAGGCCCTGGCCCTTGGACTTGTTCAACGCCGCGGGGACTGACGCTCCCGACGATGCGCCCGGCAAAGAAGAAGAAGCCTTGTCGCCGGCTCCGTTGTCGAGAGGGTTCGGGGACGTGTGGCCGGCCGTGGAGTACAACCCTCGGGTCAGCCTCCGGTACAGCGCCGGGGCACGTCGGTGAAGCTTGAGCGATCCCGGGAGCTTCGCGTCCAGCGGCGCCTGCACGCTCTCGAGGATGCTGGTGTCCATGACTTGCCAGATCTTGAAGAGCTTGTGGTAGATCTCCTCGTCCGTGTATCCGTGGCTCTTTTCGTTCTCGTACACGACCTGAGCGATGGTGAGGTTGTGCTTGCGGCATAGCGCCAGCAGGCTCGTCGCATCTCTGAAGGGGTAGCGGGGACCCGAAGTCTCGCTTTCCGACGCCTCGCCGCTCTCTGCGTCACCGATACCGGTTCCGGTTGACGTCGATGCCACGGGGGGGAGGCCGTCCTGTGCTCCCTCGAGCAGCATCGTGTCGTCCTTTGCCTCCTCGAGAGGCTTGACCTCGGCGCCGGTCCGACGGTCACCGGCGGCATCGGATCGCCTGATCTCCTTGTAGAACATGTTCTCGGCCAGATCGGCCGGGTGCTTCCCGGTGCTGCTCTCCGCGGATCCGTCCGGCGATTCCGACTGAGTCGCCGAGGAAGAAGACGACGGCGTCGCATCAGGGTTGATGGACAGGGCGCCGTTCACAACGAAGCCGCCGCCGACGCTGAACATGTCGTTGGTCGCCAGCACGTAGCCCTCTTCGTCAAAGACGGTGAAGCGCATGCCGTTGCTGTGCATCGGCAGCTTCCGGCCCCATTCCCAGACGAAGTCGCGCTCGTAGTCGAACGCAACCTCCTTGCCCTTGCCGCCCAGCCCCTGGCCCAGGAACAGCTTCTTCGTGTTCTTGATCTCGGCGAACCTCTCGGGCACGTAGGCGGTGTCGACCGTCTCCACGTCGGCGCTCTCGAGACCGAGCAGCAGGGCCGAGGGCGTCATGTGGCCCTCGCCCGTCAACGCCAGGCTGCCGTAGATTGACACCCGGATCTTGTTGACCTTGTGCAGCAGGTTCGCCTCAGCCAGGTCAGCGACAAAGATGTTGCCGGCGCGCATGGGCCCGACGGTATGGGACGACGACGGGCCGATGCCGATGGAGAACAGGTCAAAGGTCGAGATGACGGCATGCTCGTGGTCGGCCTCGCTGTAGCTCCCCGTGTCCTCCTCGTCTTCGGCCTCATTTCGTCGCTGCGCCGTGCTGACGAACAGCCTCCGCGACTGCAGACCCGCGAGAGCTGCTGCTGCCGTGCTCGTGCGTCGGATACCATCCCGAGTCGTCGGGCGAGTCCCCGAGGGGCCGACAAGCCGCGTTGAAGCGCACCAAGCCGATGATGCCCCACGCAGCTGGGCCAGTCGCTGGATCGAAATACGGCTCATGCTCATGGCTGCCGCTGGAACGAGCAACGCCGGCCAGCGGAAAGACAAACGGGAGCAGCTTATCTCACGGGGAGAGGCGGGGAGAGGGGGGAGAAGGGTGGGCTGTTTGAGAAGTTGCTTGGAGTTTTGGTTTCTCTCTTCTTCGAGGACGATTACGGAGTGAACTTTGCGTGTCTGAGTCTGGCACGGGGCGGTCAAGGAGAGATAAGTACAGGTCAAGGAGCCGCCTCAACCTCCCCTGGATCATGAATCTCTGGGGTAAGACAACGAAAACAAGGATCGTCGCATTGACCAATCAAAAAGCTTAGACTGGTAAACCCCACCAACCAGCATCATGGTACGTAATGGGTTGTATTGCGCTCTTGTGTGTACTATATTGATGGAAAACCTTGTTGGCATGGCTGACCTCCATCTTTGGCGACGGACTCATCACGGGATGCAGAGCCGGGTGAGTTTGGGCTCTTGGTGCGTTGGTTGCGATAGAGGAGGAGGAGAAACGTGAGTCTCCTTTAGGAAAAGCCGTCTCATCAGTCAGATGAATCCCTGCAAGCTACGTTAAGCCTATTTGGAGGAGGTGAGGTAGCGCGGAACCAACAGGAGGGGAAGTGAATATGCGGCTTATTGTGTCATGCCGGACAGCATACATTCTACAGCATTTATTTCATCTCCTTCAAGAGCATTGGCGTCACTCTCATCGTTGCCCCTTATCACTCTCATCCCCGTCTCGTCTTGTTTCGTCACATAACCACCTATGCCGTGCACGGCACTCCGGCAATGATGGCAGAGACACGGGATGCATGTCAAGGGGCCGACGTGGAAGCGCAGCTGACTGCTATCGACGAGCTTGGTTCCCGCGCTAGCACGCTTGACTCGCAGCTACAGTCAAGCTTCTTTTCCCGCTTCCCACTTGAAATCCGCCAGAGCATCTATAGCTATCTCTGGCTGGCCGCTGGGCCAACTCAGCATGTGTACAGATCTGGCGCGTCTGTTTTGGCGCCCCTCTCTCATTGTCAGTGCATCGCCGACCTGGATGCCGAGGATATCCGCGAGACCGAACTTGGCCGCTTGTTGAATACTCCGCCGGCCGACCCGGCGATGCTCGGAGGTAGTGTGGCACCGGGGTCGACGGACGAAAGAGACGCCATCACAGATTGGCGGTTTCGCCTCGCTTCCAACTGGTGCAACCACTGGCTATGCGAAGAAGAGCCGCCAGTTCTACGCACAATTAACGACAACTCCGTGTCAGCAGAGGGGGCCGACGAGGAACAGACCTCCCCAGAGAACGGCAAGAACCATCGCCGCCGCCGCCAGGCTCTCGTCAAAGACTTCAGCCCGTTCCTGGCAATCCTTCTCACCTGCAAGCGGATGCACGGCGAGGCAGTCGATTCCCTCTACGAGTCAACGACCTTCTCCTTTGTAGGCACAGGTGCGCTTTCACGCTTCATAAAAACTACAGCATCCGAGTCTCTCGCCCGGGTCAGTAAGCTCCATCTGGTATGGCGAGCCCCAATAGAGACGTACATGGCCCTGGACGCCGACGAGGCTGTTGCGGAGAGAACCAAGTGGGACGAGCTGTGGACAGAATTGCCTCTCGCCATTCCTCGATTGAAAGAGCTTCGCATCTGGGCATATCCAAACTATCCTCGGTTTCCCATGCCCCATGATGAATGGCTTCTACCACTCCATCAGTTCGGAAAGGTGCCCAAGTTCCGAATCTCGTTCAGATGGTTCCAGAACCCCCCAACGCCGGACGCCGGCCCCCTGGACTCTCTGGAGGCGGCTCCGTTCGAGTATGACAGAATACCTCCGATGCAAGAGGATCCTCTTTACCCTCACTGGCACCGCTTGATCGGCCTACCGGACGTTGAACCACGTGATCCCGTCAGCCGACGACAGCGAAAACGAAGATATGTTGGGAGGGCACTTTGAGGAAACCGTGACAGGAAGACAGAGGGTCCGCCGAGAGACGGGAGCAGACCCCGAGCCGCAACTTCTTGGCATCACAGTTACAGATTGGCCACTCTACCCCTCATACCACGCGGTCCTGCAAGCGTTCGGCCGAGCGTCGTCGCTATGACCGCATCGCCCAGATTGACTGAAGCCGTACGGGGAGAGAGCCGAGCCTCTATTTTCGGCTGAAGTGTGACCCATCTGATGTATTGAACGCCGACGCAAAACCACAAGAGTGTCCGCAGAGAACACGATGCATCCTGGCCCTGTTGATGCGCGTAAATACGGCCCCAAGCATGCCGTTCATCCGTCGATTAAGGTTTTTTGGCTTCGGCCTCTTTGTCGTTTCATATTTGTATCTCTCAGAGCAGGACATGAGCTGAGGCCGATGGGCATCGCAAGTCGAGTAACATTTAAACGGTGCCGGCCTGTGTGGGACGTGATCAAGCGCATTGGAGTTGGCTCCCAGATTCCTTGCCTGCTCATGATGTCATGGACACTTATTTCACGACCGGTTAGTTAACTGAGTCACAAAATGCCATGGCGTTTTCTACAATAGCAAGGACAAATGTATCGTTCCCTATTGTAGACAGTAAGCACATCAATGCCGTGACTTGAGCATATCAAGACAAATACCGCCGTAACTGCAATGAAAACGGTGAATTACCCTCAAGTACAAACGCTTTGGATGACATGTTAACGTTGCTTCACAGGAACGACTGGCAAAGCGAAACCCCTGGGAGGGTTGTTCAGATGATGCACGCTGCGACCCGGGGATCGACGCAATGATGCTCAGGGCTTGAGCGTCTGTCTGTTTATAAACCTCCATCGTCTTCCATTTCTGGGCTCGGATGGCTGTAGTAGATGAAGGCTCACAGTTCGATGCTTATAATCTTTTGCTCAGACCTCACTATCGATCTCACCGCCCTCGAATCAACTACCACTACCGGGTATCTTACCCAAGACCCACATATGATGAAGCCGACACGGACGACCCTTCTCTTGCTGGCGACGATGACAAGCGTTCTGGCAGCGCCAGTGGCCGATGCCAATATTGTTATGGCAGATCCAGAATCGAGGTCTGAGTACCACACATCCTGGGTCGAAGATAGTACCGTGAGTTCTTGGTGGACCCCTTTATCCCCTCCCACTTTCAAAGCAGACTCCCAGTTCCTGACCCGGAGCGATGGACAGAAGCCATGGCTGAGGAAGCGGGCCGCAGGGAAAGGCGATCCTTGCAACCCTGGCAAAGGCCAGTGTGTCACTGGCCTCGGCTGTTACTCATGTGGTAATCACCAGCCCGTGTGCCAGCAAGGTCCGGGTTCGAACCAGTGCTGCTACCGGGATAATACAAATTCGGTGGCCGTATGCGACCGGTTATAGCCTGTCGTAATCGTTTGGGGGGTTAAAGAATATATATGAATGGCTGCACATGAATACAGGATATGGTCGGGCTCCGATTGGTGTCGGGCTAAGTGATTACTTTTCCTTCCTCAGGTGGCCGAAGAGGGGATATTATTAAATATAGTCGCTCTAGATCCCCATAAGTGGTCTAGTGAGGAATGGATATATATCACGCCTCACGTGACAATTAGGTAGGAGTCTAGTCACTTTACCAGTTACTCTAAATACTTAACATAACAGTACAAACGTCCGTCGTCACCTGTTTTATTGTATACTTAAAGTAGTACTATGTTTCCGCATTAAGATACGATACACCTGGAATCGTCCAATATGCTGATGTAGCTAGACAGTCAACAATGTCTCGAGACTTGAAGAAGGCACAATCCCTGGTGAGCACGTTGCAGGTTGAATTCGCCAATGACTCTTTCTACAAATGGAACTGCGAGATGACAATGTTCAACAGATTTTTGGGAACCCAAAATACCCCGCGGAAGAGACGATTGCTGACAAAGAAAGGCATCGATCGAGGAGCAAGCACAAAAAGAATGGCAGAATAACCAAGAGCGTAAACATGTCAAGAAAAATATCAGAGGACCAAGGAAGGTAGGAAATAAAAGAAAGAACAGAATAACCGTGCTGTCCCATTTGATGTTTGAACCCCAGTTATCATGATACCAGACGGTTGCGTAACCATTTTGAATTCATGCCCAAGACTGAGACTAATCATTCTGCGCTAAAAAGTAAACTACCAATCTAGAAGCCAAGCGGCAAAGGTTGAATTGCGCTGGCTAGCGGGCCATGGGAAGAATGTTGGATTTTCCCAGCCCTGCTCCGATATGCATCATCCCAGAGACTTTTCCCAACAGAACCGTTGGATCGTCCGGGCTGAAGGATGACTGAAACCAGACAAAAACCCAGCACAACCGTAGTTGTCCATCTGAGACCCAGATCCCAACTTACAGCCAGTGCCTGCCAGGCCAAGTTGGTAATCCCAAGTGTCCATAAACTCCTGTCCCTCGGTTTCCCAATGCGTACCACCTCCTCCTCCTGCTGCTGCTCAATACCGGCGGCCGTTCCTGTTGGCAGGTCGTCGGTTGAGACTCCGGCGGCGTCGATAGGAGTTTGACCAGTCCGAATTCGGAACGTAGCAGTACCAGTTTCCGTTAGAATCCCAAGCCCCAACTTGGCCTGATGGACATCCGGTTCCCACATTGCCGCCGCTGCCGCCGCCGCCGCCGTTATTCCAGCCGCCGCCGTTGTTCCAGCCGCCGCCGTTGTTCCAGCCGCCGCCGTTGTTCCAGCCACCGCCGTTGTTATAACCACCACCCTGACCACGACCGCCGTTGTTCCAGCCGCCACCATTGTTCCAGCCGCCGCCCTGTTGGTAAAGTGTTAGCTATCTCCGTCATTGTTTGTTGCAAAGGGTGGGTAAGGGCATACTCCTCCGTAACCACCACGGCCGCCGCCGCCGTAGCCGCCATTGCCGCCGCCGTAGCCGCCATTGCCGCCGCCATTGCCGCCTTGACCGCCGTAGCCTCCGTAACCACCACGGCAGGAAGATCAATCAGTCGAGATAACCCTTTAACTACCACGACGGGACTTCGTAGTGAACTACTCAATCAAACCGTTGATCCCACTATTAATAGGGGGCATCAAGGTGATCGAGGCCGCCTCATTGCGCGGATGAGATAAGCGGTCTATACGGCGCATTCGCCCTCTTATAGAGATTTATACCGTTTTTT